ATATCATAGGCCAAAGTGAATTCATTGGCGTTTCAATGACGTTTCAATGCGTTAGGCCGAGTTAAGAATCCGTAGGCCAAATTTGGCGTCAAGAAGCAGTGTTAGACGTTTGAAAATATCTCAACGATTGGTTTCTATTTATCAAATCTACATACATACGGAAAGGTGAATAAATTTGGAAGCCATCAGTAATAATAACATTCGTTTGGTGCTAAACTGCGCTAGATTAAGAAAGACTAAGTGTGGGTTGAGCTTAATAGGCCGGAAATGGGGTAGTTAACCCTATGTTGTTGTTTTCAGAGTGTGGTGTAAAATAATAGAATCCAAAACTCGTTCGATCATACAGTGTTTAAGCTTGGCCTTTGGCTGGTCGGAGTTAATGATGTTACAATGGGTACAACGATACAACAAACACGATCGATCTTTCAGTTTTTGAGCATGGTTGATAGGAGAGAATAACCAGTGAGCAGCAAAACAATGATAATAAAAAAATAATAATTTCTAATTATCGTGCAGCTTGTGAATGGCAACAGCGAGCTTGTAAAAATATGCGTGGAAACTTCTGGAATTCACACCATGGTATGATTTGGTGAGTTATTTTCTGTTGTAAAATTGTTATTGATTCCTGTTTGCTATCCATCGGGATGGCCTCGATCCAGTGTGAAGATTTGGAAGTTGACAGATCATATTTTGATGTTTGTGATGATGATTTATTTCATGTAACCGGAGGTTAACCAGGTTCAGGCTGAAAGCCTCCCTAATAAAGAAAACTTAACTTAACTTATTTCATGTAACATAAGATTCACATCTTTTTAACGTAACAAAGTATTGAACAGTATTACAAGTCCTGAGAAGAGATCTTTTAACATTGTACTTGCCTGTTAAAGCAGGCTGGGAAACCACAAGCTGACCACAACCCCGGGACGAATGTGGTGAACACAGACAGCAAGTGGCAGGATTCAATCAGAGAGATTGAGATCCACAGTGCCTTCTACGATGCATCCCAGGATCGAAGAAGGTACAGATGAGTTGACAAGTTCAGAGCTGATTTCACAGAGTAGCTATGGTGGTAAGAAGAAACGTCACGCAGAGCAGGGCTTAGATCTAATTTTAGGCCTAATAAGAACAACCCACCCTTTGCCTTTATTTTACGAGTGGACTTATTTCACAAAATTGAATGTTTTCTCTGCAAATAACTTCTAAATTTATTTACCTTTCCAGACGTACCGTAACATTTGCTAAAGAGAAACAAATTGTTAAGGTATTGTTAAAAGTCTAACACAGCTTGTTGACACCGAACTCGACCTACGGATTCTAAATAAGGCTTAATCAGCGAATCCAAACACATAAAGCAACCAACGATACAGACAAAACGGTTGCTACGGCTACCATGACAAACTCGCTCTGTAACATAGCTCGATCTGAGTGGTAGAAGGATAATGATATATTGCTTGCCTGCTTTGTTGCAATCGCGAAAAGACATAACCAAAAAATTCCCATTAACACACGTGTACCTATCATGTTCGGCTTTACATCGTGAAGCAGCTTGCCAACAATTTGCTCGTTTCCTTCTACCGCCCCGAGTGCGACAGCACGGGCTGCTTGTCATGAAAAAGAAGGAAGAAGATTATATCATTATTGCTTTGCACTTCTGACATAGCGTTATTATTCGGTTCGTTGATCGCTTGTCATTTTGTCACTTGGAGATATTTTTGATTCCTTGGGCCTAATGGATTGACACGCCATTCAAACGCCATTGAATCCACTTCGGCCTATCGGATGAAGATTAAAATTGATTCCTTCGGAGCGCTTCTTTTGTTTTTGCCAAAAATTGGTGCAAACATTCATCACGCGTTCTCATTGACTACGTTCGGTAACTGTTGAACTAAAGTATCGCATAATTGACTTGTTAACTCTGAAACAATGGATTTTTTATGTTTTCTGCTCGATAGGCCCAAAATGGGCGATCAGGCTCTGCTCTACCCTATGTCCAATGCTTAAATAATTGTACTGTTTGGAAGACCATTTGACATCCAAAAACCACATGAACGAGGCGACTATGTTGAACGATGTCTGCAAGCGGGACTGGGTTGAGAAGATCAGGGCTTCCAAAGAGCTTTCTACGGTGCGTCTCGGTTGTGAAGACATTAAATCGGCATTCTTTTTAAACTAATTTCTTAACCTTCATGGTTTCATCACATGGAATGCATTCAGTAGTAAGAGCGAGAATGTCGTCCTCTGTTGAACTTGCTGCATATGGGTTCATAATCCTTTATTTAAGGGTACAACTTCCTTTATTTATGGTAAAATTGTCGTTTTTAAAGGAATTTTGTGTTCGTTTTACCGGTACAATTTTTAATTTTTAATGGGTACATTTTCCATTTTCTAGGGGTAACGGTGCTATTTCTTATCGGTATATGGGAAAAATGTTAATGGGTGCATTTACACATTTTATGGTGCATTTTATTTATTTTAGGGGAACAATGACTTGTTGCCACTCGAAACCAGGAAAAGTAAGATTCTATTGGCGTTGACGGCGACTCTGTAGCTCTTTACTCCTATGAGAAAATCCATAAGCAAACGTCAGACTGTGCGTGAAACATGGCGGACTTTGTACTATCCTTTCACTCCACCGAAAATTCCCATAAGAAACTATCTAAATTTGCTGGAAGAGCAAATTTTTCGACGGTGCCGTCAACGCCAATTATAAGCTTTTTATCAATGCACTGAGACTAGAAAATCATCTCGTGAATGTTTAATGCGAAAATATACATTCTGAAAAAACTTGTTTGTACCCTACAGCCCATTTAAAGAACTGTCATTTCATTTGTTGTATGAAAAAAGCAGAGGATGTAAGAAATCCACTCTTACATTCGATGTTCATGCCATTTGTTTCACGTTTAGGCACCCCCTTTAGCTATACCAATGACAACATACCTTTCTTTCACAACTTAAATAAAATTATGCATGCAATCTTTAACAGCTGTGCTTCAATCGAGTGAAATAAGTCTCACTATTGACACAATGAATCATCATGTTTGTATTTGCACACGCACGTGCCTTTTTGTCTAAACCGCAATCACAAAGCCATAGTCACATTAGATTGAATCCTCCCTATAAGCAGATTATCTCATCTCATCAAAAATGTAAATCATTTTCCCAGTTGATTGTTCCTTATAGCATTACGAAAATGATTTATTCGTTACGGCAAACTGCACCTATCAAAGGTTTGTAAATATTTAGATTCGCATAATGCTGAATAGGGCGTCACAATATCAGCTTCAATCGACCAAATCGATGCGATGAAGAGACTGCTGGCTTTCTTTTTCTGTTAAAGTCGAACAGCTTCGCAGCATTCTAGAACCTCAGTCGGCGTGCACAAACAAATATTCAATCGCTTGTCTATCTTTCTCCCGTCGCTCCATTGGTCTTCCTTTCAAGCTTCGGTGAAACGGATGAGTGAAAGAGCGCTCGACTTTGATAGTTTTCTCTTTCATGAAACACATCAACAGAGGTTTCATGACGTATATGACGGAAAATGAAATAACACATTTAAAGCACTTGTGAGTGTTCACGTTTCAGTGTCGAGTAATTTTTAGAATATCGTGTAGAGTACTCGTTATTATGTTGAAAAATCATGGCAAGTAATGTTCGTGTATGTGTACAGTTTTTCTCCGTCAGTAAATCTCCCTGGTAGGCCAGAGTAGAGTAGCCTACAGTATTACGCAGCCATCCACCCACCGTAGTCTACAAAACCCACCACCAGATGGAGTAAAAGCAGCATTTAGGCGGCCATGAGAGGTGACGACAAAAAAAGCCATTACAAACGGCATAACGGACACGATGACTGGCGATGAAAAACTAATGGCCTGGGTCACTGACCAATAGTCAAAGGACAGTGACCCAAAAAACGTATTTCTAGGCTACATACACCGATCAGGTCTATCATCAAATAACCATCAAGGTAAACGGTCGATAGTCTCTGGTGAAATATAAGAAACATTACTGTGACAGAATATAGTGGAAGATAGTAAGAGGAAAGTGGAAAAGGGTGAGAGGAAAAAACGGACAGCAGGTAAATTCCCGGAATCACCATTTTGGTTCAAAGGTCCTAATGTGAACCGTTTGTCTGTTAGGACCCCGCTGTAAATTTTAAACAGAACCGCTGAGGTACACCTGGTAGACGTACCGGTAGGCTACGCCAGTCCCCAGCCAAGTAAGAACAATTCCGACACGAACCGCCGAAGCCGAGTCCGTCAACACACTCGGTGGCCCAGCCAGCATAAAAAGTGGAATAGCGCGCGAAGGAGATTTCCAACGCCGCCGAAGGAGAGAAGGAAGAAGGTGGAACGTGGAGCCGAGCGAAGCAGTCGTCGAGGAAACGTGGTGGTGGATCTGCAAGGGGCCCCGAAGAAGAAGGGAAAGACAACAGAAACAGGTCAGATAGAAATTAAGAAAGTGGGAGAGTTACAAATGTAGGGAGGAATAGACGTGTTAGTATAATCCGACAATAAAAAGTGGTAATTTTGAATATTGAAGTGCTGTAGGAGTTTTTGCTGTAGCCAGTGCGATCATTCCTTGCCACGTGGAACCTTGTTCGGTAAGCGTGCCAACCCTGAGGCCATTGTAGTCAGGGATTCTCAGGATCGCTCCCAACTGAGGTAGTTAGCACTGACACTTTGGCGCCCAACTTAAAATTGCCTTATCGGCAGCTGTTTTAAACATCCAGCTTGGGAGATCGCACATGAGATAGCTGGTTTCTACAGAAGTCTCTGGGAAAAAATCCAGGCCTTCACAAGACAATTACCACAGTTGGAATTATAACTTGACCTGACACAGTTTATAAAATATTTTATTTGCAGCGGAGGGGTTCTGATTGTTCATAAAACCGTAAAAAATAACGATTGTTTGAAAAGCGAGTCAATTGATTTTGTTAGAACGGAGCGAAGTGTTTTATCGTTTAAGTGTGTTTCGGAGGAAGTTGTTAAAACACCAGAGAAAAAGATTGATTTATTTTCAAGCCTTAAACTAGAATTTTCAATTATTAAAATTTTAAAGTTAAGTTTTAGCATACACGATTGCTTGAAGCGTAAATAGGTAGTTCTTTTTAAATTTTAATTTTTATAATTTTGCTAAAATTGTACGCAAACGTTGAACGATGGAGCAAGCTCACTTGCAGGCGCAATATTACGCGTTGAATGCTGCACATCTGGCCGACGATGAATTAGAAATCCGTGAAGTAAAAATGAATGGCGAATCTCGTAGCAAACAGGAAAGAGCATTGCGTAGTCTGTTGAAGGCTGAAAGAGAGAAAACAAATATTAATTACAAAGCAAATTGGATTGCATTACTAGATGAATTGAAATGGTGTGATGAAAAGCTTTTGGAAGTGAAAACAGAGTTAGAAGGTAGAAAAACCCGAAAGGCACCAGATCAAAAATTTAAATCCAAACTTCTCCACATTTTCTTTAGGATGCAACGACTTACGGCTCATAGCAAAGAAGAAGAAGATTTGAACTGTATCGCAATCATAGCAGGAGAGTGTGTACGGTTGCTGAACATGTATTTTTCAATAACATCGCCATTTCCAGAAGTAAGGGAAGTAGAAATTAGAATAATGCATGAAAGCTTACGACAGACACACATAGAAACAAATGAGGTAAACGTTAACGATAGGAGAGTAGTGGTCAATCCAACAGTCGTAGAAGATGAGTATGAGAGTGAGCATAGAAGAGAAAGGTCTACAGGAGAGATCACTGAGCATATTTCTGATGATGATGAAGGTGCAGTAAGAGATGCGGTTATAGAAAATGAGAACATCAGAGATAGGGCAGTAAACGAACTCTCAGATGAGAATGAACGTTTGAAAGTAGTGGTGAATCAGTTGTTGAGACGTATTCAGGCGCTTGAGACTTCGAATACAGCCAGGCAGTGTGAAATAGAAAGAGAGCAAATGAAACATAAAAGCAGCACACCGATAGATGAGAGATCAGTCCAAAATGAGAATGAAGCACGTCAGAATAAAAATAAGCAGAATTTTTATGAATGGATTAAGCAGAGATATAGTTCAATGGAAAGCATAAGTGAAGATAACAGGAAGGTTCAGTCGTCGAACCAGGACAAAACAAATAAGAAACAAGTGGTAGAGGTAGATAAGCCGAAAAGTAACCGATTGCCGGTGTACAAATGGTCGGTTAGATACGATGGATTTGATAATGGCAGGAGGTTAAACGAATTTCTCAAGGAAGTAGAATTCAATGCAAGGTCGGAAGGGTTCACTGAAGCAGAATTATTCGTGTCTGCGCATCATCTCTTTACGCGAAAAGCGAGAGCATGGTTTATGGAAGTCAATGGAAATAGCGAGCTAGAAACGTGGGAGAAATTAACCAGGGAACTAAAAAGTGAGTTCTTACCTGAGGACATTGACTACCAGTACGAACGTCTGGCTGGTTCACGGAAACAGAGTCCGAGGGAGAAATTCCAAGATTACTATCTGGATATGGTGAAAATTTTCCGGAGTATGTCCAAACAGTGGGATGATACCAGAAAATTTGACGTCTTGTTTCGGAACACCAGGTCAGATTGCAGAACTGCGATGTTAGCTGCCAACGTGACTTCCATACCTAAAATGAGGGAATTAGGTAAAAGGTTTGATTCTATCAATTGGCAAGTGTATGTTAGGAAAGAGAACAGATTTAGACCGAATCCCCAAATTGAAGAAATCCAGCAGCAACGACAGAATAATAGTCGCTACGGAACAAACAACAGATTTCAAACAGAACAAAAAGGAGGGTATCAAGGACGAAATTTTAATCCAAATTACAAACCAGGTGACAAGCAAGTCCCACCTGGGGAAAATGGAATTCAGGGTGGAAATAATCATCGAAAATTTCCCCAAAAGCAGATGAGTCAGGATGACAAACAAAACCAGAATTACAAACAGTTTAACCCAAAACCTGGTCCTAGTGGTACAAGTGCACTTCAAAGGATCGTGAAAGCTTACATTCCCATTAAGCGTGGAGTTTGCTTTAACTGTCACGAGGAGGTTTTCCTGGGTTTCCCACAAACAATTGCCCATTCTGCCAGTCAAAAAACGTGAAAAAGACTGCTCAGTGAGGCAGAGCAGTCAAATCGACGCCGAAAGTCCTCAGCAGGAATATTCAGAAAATCCAGCAACCGTTCTTCAACAGTTAGGTTACTCGAAGGTGGAGGATCGTTTCAAAAAGCAGGACGAGATTGCAACATTGCTCGTCAAGCTTAGTGGATATGCCAGGCCGTTTACGAGAATTGAACTAATGGGGATTGAATTGATTGGGCTTCTGGATAGTGGAGCTGCACGGACGGTTTTAGGGATCGGAGCGGGGAAAGTGATCAAACAGTTAAATTTAAAATTAGAACCAACTTTGATAAATTTAAAAACAGCTGGCGGGGAAGATTTGGAATTTCTTGGATGTGTAGATATTCCGATCACGTTCAATGGAACTACAAAAATTTTGCCCGTATTAGTCGCCCCGAAACTAAAACGAAGGTGTGTACTAGGGTATGATTTCTGGCTTAAATTTGGAATCAAGCCAGCCATACTGAATAATCCAGTAGAGGAATTGGATGATGGAGCTAGTGACAACTTGGAGAAGGAAGAAGAACTAACAGATAACCAAAAAGAACGTTTGGAAAGAGTAAAGAGGAAATTTATAGCTGCACAACCAGAAAAATTCGGGATGACAGATTTAATCGTCCATTCTATCGAGATAAAGGAGGAGTTCAAACAATCGGATCCGGTGAGGAAAAATCCGTATCCGTGGAGTCCTGAAATTCAACGAAAAATTCACACAGCGGTAGACAACATGATTCGCGATGGGATCGTTGAGCAGTCTAATTCAGACTGGGCTCTCCCAGTAGTTCCAGTTGCGAAGCGGGATAGTCAGGAGGTAAGGCTGTGCTTGGATGCCAGAAAATTGAACGAGAGGACTAAGAGGGACGCCACACCAAAATAGGATCTTGAGTCATTTAGGACCAGTGAAATATCTGACGACCATTGATTTGTCCCAAGCTTTTCTTCAAATCCCGTTGAGCCCAGACTCCAGGAAGTACACCGCTTTTTCGATCCCAGGTAGAGGACTGTTTCAATTCACACGGCTTCCGTTTGGGTTGATAAACAGTCCAGCTACACTTAGCAAGTTGATGGATCGTGTACTGAGTCATGGAGCGTTAGAACCAGCAATATTTGTCTATCTAGACGATATTGTTATTGCTAGCCAGACATTTGAAGAACATCTTCAAAAGCTTGATGATCTAGCGAAGCGTTTGAGGGAAGCAAATTTATGCATCAATTTGAGCAAGTCGAAATTTTGCTGCCAAGAATTGCCGTATCTTGGGTACATTTTGTCCCAGGATGGATTACGGCCTAATCCAGATCGCGTACAAGCGATCCTTGGATATCAGGTTCCGAAATCGGTTAGACAACTTCGTCGATTCCTCGGTATGATTAATTATTACCGTAGGTTCATCGCAAAATATAGTGACATTACGGCACCTCTCACTGATTTATTGAAAAATAAGCCAAAGAGGGTGCAATGGAACTCAGCAGCCGACAATGCTTTTCAGGTCATCAAGGAGAAACTCATTTCTGCTCCTGTGATGGCCAACCCAAATTTCATGCTCCCTTTCACAGTCCAAACGGACGCAAGTGACAACGCTATCGCAGGTATTTTGACGCAGGTACATGATGGAGAAGAAAAGGTTATAGCTTACCACTCGGAAAAGCTCAAAGGTGCTGAGCTAAACTACCATGCGGCTGAGAAAGAAGGTCTCGCTGCACTCCGTTGCATTGAGAAATTTAGAGGCTATATAGAGGGGATGAAGTTCACTTTAATAACTGATTCCTCTGCCCTGACTTTCATAATGCGAGCGAAATGGCGATCTTCATCTCGGCTTAGTCGCTGGAGTATTGAACTACAGTAGTACGACATGGATGTGCGTCATCGCAAGGGAAAAGAGAATGTAGTTGCCGATGCACTCTCTCGATCGATGGAGACTCTCGAGGAAGAGCCCGAAGACGGGTGGTACAAAAAGCTGTTTGCAGGTGTGAAAGCAGACCCGGAAAAGTACTTGGACTTTAAAGTCATAGACGGAGTACTCTACAAGTTCGTAGCAACCAGGTCCGATCTGATGGACTACCATTTCGAATGGAAACGATGTGTTCCAACTTCTATGCGGAACCAGGTCATTAAGCAGGAACACGACAATAATCTCCACATTGGGTATTTAAAATGTGTTGAGAAAGTCAAACGCCGGTATTATTGGCCACGCATGACCACGGATATAAAAAAAATACATTGTGAATTGCGTACCATGCAAAGAAAACAAACATTCGACCATATCAACAGCACCAGAAATGGGAAAACAGAGGATTACAAACCGACCATTCCAAATAATTTGTATGGATTTCATCCAATCCCTTCTGAGAAGCAAGCAGGGCAACGCTCACTTATTAGTGGTCATGGACCTGTTTTCTAAGTATTGCCTGCTTGCTCATGTAAAGAAGATCTCTGCAGTATCTCTCAACAAAATTTTGGAAGAGCAGTGGTTCAGACGACTCTCTGTCCCACAAATCGTCATCACAGACAACGCGACAACATTCTTGTCGAAAGACTTTCAAAATTTACTCGAAAAGTACGAGATACAGCATTGGGCAAATGCTCGGCATAGAAGCCAAGCAAACCCAACAGAACGTCTCAATAGGACAATCAATTCCATGATTCGTTCATATGTGAAGCAAGACCAAAAGTTATGGGACACGAAAATAACGGAGATTGAGTACGTTCTCAATAATACGGTTCATTCAACGACTAAATTCCGTCCACATTGTGTGATCTTCGGTCATGAGATAATTGACAAAGGGTCAGAGCATAAAAAAGAGCAGAGCGAGGAACATACTGAGGAGCAGAGAGTAGAAAAGCTGAGAGGGGTAACAAAGAAGATCGGAGAGTTGGTTAAAGAACACCTCCAAAAGGCTCACGAGGACACCAAGAGACGATACGATCTGCGACATAAGCGTTACTCACCGACGTTTAATGTGGGTCAACAGATCTATAAGCGTAGCTTTCGTCTGTCGTCTGCTGGGAACCAGTTTAACGCAAAGCTGGGACCACAATATGTTCCGTGTATCATCATGAGGAAGGTCGGCACCAGTTCATATGAGGTGTCGGACATGAAAGGGAAGGCGTTAGGCATATTTTCCGCTGCCGATTTAAAAGCATAAACGCTAAAAATAAAAATAAATAATATGTAAGAGCTCAAAACATCACATCATTTCAAAATGCAATACTTAAGTAGGATATTAGTTTGGATTAGAAGAGTTATTTTCGCGAAAAAGGTCCTTTTGAAGATACTTATCGTTCCAAATCTAGTCATTCCGATGTATGCATTTTCCCGGGAAAACCAATGCGCAGGTGTGACATTCAGGTTTGTAAAAATTTGTAAATATTCGGCCGAATAATCATTAAGTTCTGCATGTTTACCTAAAAAAATTAAAAATTAGGGTTTTATATTTGTAGTTTTAGAGATTTTGTTTTAAGGTGTTTCATTGAATAAGTTTTATTGTCTGTGTAGGAGTAAAAATGCTTAAATTGCATCGTTTGTATTCATTCGGTTTTCTTGTCGTGTATGCAAAGTTGGTAATAAGTTGTAACATCCAATACAGTCAAGCTGAGAGATATATTACGGAGGTGTATGTGTGTAGATATATCGTGCGTGTATTTTTGTTAAACTCAAGTTCAAAGTCATGATCATCATCAACAATAGCCCGAAATGATCGCATCTACGTTACAAACATTATTCACTTTTGCGATACTCAATATAGGAAACAATAGCATTGTTCCGTAGCCTGCAATACGACCATACTCACCACTCTATAGCATTCACTTGGAACATAAGAAGAGAAGGATGAGCTACTAACAAGGAATTCACAAAAGGGAAATTTACGTAAATCAAATAATTATTATTCAAAAGGCCTAAAGAAACCGCGAATTTAAACACGATATTTAGATTAAACGTTGTGTACACACTCTTCAGAATTCCTTATTACCACCTCATCACTACTTAACACATGTGATCTCTAGCTCGTCAGCATCACTATTGACAGCACTTTTACATTTTTTCCGATCTCGACTGAATATACGCACACTGATAAAACACTGATAACGCTATCTCAGAGAACTTAATGCAGCGCAACTCCGACAAATTGCGTGAAATGTTTCATGCACCATTCGCATGACTCAATTATTGTACATAAATGCTCCATAGTAAAAAAGAAATAAATAAATAATAATAATTAATTTGGTTTGTAATGAAAATAGATAGTAAATCTAGTAATGCATGTAGTAGATATTAATAGAGTTATAATTTTTAACATTAAATGTCTTTTTAAACAATCGGTGAAACCTTTGCTAATTTTTTTTTCGAGGTTACCAGGTCTAAAAAACCTGAGTATTTGATCGCTGGAGACCGGAGTCAAATGACACTGATGGTTAGTATGGACATTATGTCATTAAACTGTGAGGAGTTGATTCAGTTCAACGATGAAAACGTATGACCCCGATACTCGATGAAAATAATAGCAACCTTCACATACTCTTTACTGTTTTATGGCCTGTCTCAATCTTATACGTTACAAGTGAAATGTTTCGTGAACTACAGTCAGTGATAGTGATTTTGTCCTGGTGAGAATTTTCTTATGTTGTGCAGGTTCAGAGGTACGTGTAACCGGGGAAGTATTGTGTGATTTTAAACAAAAATATTTACTTTGTAAATATTTTTACCCGAGCTGGGGGAGAGTGTGAGTGTTCACGTTTCAGTGTCGAGTAATTTTTAGAATATCGTGTAGAGTACTCGTTATTATGTTGAAAAATCATGGCAAGTAATGTTCGTGTATGTGTACAGTTTTTCTCCGTCAGTAAATCTCCCTGGTAGGCCAGAGTAGAGTAGCCTACAGTATTACGCAGCCATCCACCCACCGTAGTCTACAAAACCCACCACCAGATGGAGTAAAAGCAGCATTTAGGCGGCCATGAGAGGTGACGACAAAAAAGGCCATTACAAACGGCATAACGGACACGATGACTGGCGATGAAAAACTAATGGCCTGGGTCACTGACCAATAGTCAAAGGACAGTGACCCAAAGAACGTATTTCTAGGCTACATACACCGATCAGGTCTATCATCAAATAACCATCAAGGTAAACGGTCGATAGTCTCTGGTGAAATATAAGAAACATTACTGTGACAGAATTTTTTTTTTTTTTTCCTTTGGGTTGTTTTTTCCGTCGATCTTGTTTTCCGTGCTGAGCACCAATGCTACCGACGTGCCAGGAAGGCAGCTCCCACACCTGGACCCTACCTATCGACCCATCAACTCATGAACCGGGGACCAACGGCTTTACTTCCCATCCGAAGGAAGGCGTGATCAGAGATGTTATGCCTCAGAACATCCCGGCGGCGCCAACTGGGATTGAACCCAGGCCTGCTGGGGTGAGAGGTAATCACGCTTACCACTACACCACCGGCGCCGTTACTGTGACAGAATATAGTGGAAGATAGTAAGAGGAAAGTGGCCCAGCCAGCATAAAAAGTGGAATAGCGCGCGAAGGAGATTTCCAACGCCGCCGAAGGAGAGAAGGAAGAAGGTGGAACGTGGAGCCGAGTGAAGCAGTCGTCGAGGAAACGTGGTGGTGGATCTGCAAGGGGCCCCGAAGAAGAAGGGAAAGACAACAGAAACAGGTCAGATAGAAATTAAGAAAGTGGGAGAGTTACAAACGTAGGGAGGTGTTAGTATAATCCGACAATAAAAAGTGGTAATTTTGAATATTGAAGTGCTGTAGGAGTTTTTGGTGTAGCCAGTGCGATCATTCCTTGCCACGTGGAACCTAGTTCGGTAAGTGTGCCGACCCTGAGGCCATTGTAGTCAGGGATTCTCAGGATCGCTCCCAACTGAGGTAGTTAGCACTGACACACTTCTCACGTGAAAACACGTGAAGATTACACGTAATATTTTTAATTTATCTTCCATCCATATATTTATCTGAAAAAAAAGGATCAAAAACGGGACATAACGCATTTTAAACAAATTGAAAGATCGGTGATAGAGTGTTCGTGAAAGGGGATTGAAAGCCATAATGAGGTTCGTTTAACTAGAAAATCGACGTTAGTTACATTGAAAGCGATGAGCAAAGCAACGACGAGTAGTTCCACAGCCAGCGTTTCCTTCTAAGCGTGCTTCTTTTTCACTATCATTTCTTGCTGATAGTCTAGCTAGGCGTTATAGAAATGAAGCGTCGAACACGTATGTATGAGAGAAAAAAAACACGAGTTCATTTTAGAGCTTCGAAAATGTAGAGCCCTGATGCTGATATGAATCGCAATGCAGTCAAGCGATCGATGAAGCAGCTATGCGATATTTCGTTAGACTAGATCTAGCTGTGCTCGTGTTAAGTAGTGACCCACGTGCTTCAACTATGGATGTTGCGGAAAAGTTCGAAGAAAACTCACCACTCTTGGTGGCCAACGGTTCGAGAAAAGTTAACCGGAATTGGTTTCGAAATGTAACTGTTGAACCAGTCGCTTTTCTGCTTAGTTTCGGTTGGAGCCTTTCTGGTAGAAACCTTCGATTGTTCATAAACATATATCTAATCAGGTGTTTGCTTCAAAATTTATAGAGATCATGTTAACCAACCAAATAGTGTATCAATCTTGTGTGGTAACACTGGAATCGAACGAGACTGCTTGCTCTCTTTTAAAGAGTTCCGGAGTGTCGGACAATCAAACGATTGCGATTTATCTAGAAGAAAAGGTTCAACCATATGCAGCTACCATCTCTATGACTATTGTTTTGCTCACATCAGTTGTTCCTGCATTAGTTGCTCTGTTTCTTGGGCCATGGTCGGATAAATTTGGCCGAAAGCCCGTCATAGCGATCGCTTCAGTTGGTAAAGTGTTTTTATCGTTGTGCAACGTTATATGACTGCAGTTTTGTTCCAGGATATATGCTAACAGAGATTCTGATGGTATGGATTAGTTACCTGTCGTCGTATTACGCTTTATCGCCGTGGTTGTATGTTGTGGCGAATATTCCTGTGGCAGTTTCCGGAGGATATTCAGTATTCAATGCTGGGATATTCAGCTACATGAACGATGTAACGAATGAGAATAACCGAACAATGCGCATGGGCGTCTTACAAGGATTCACCATGCTTGGAGTGCTTATTGGATTGCTAGCCAGCAGTTACATGGTGAAATTTGTAACAGTAACAACAATGTTTTCGATTTCAGCGGTAATCATGTTTATTAGTGTAATGTACTTAATACTAGTTACCAATGAATCTATCACAACGAATAATTTGCATTCAGCGATACAGCAACTGAAGGCGATCTTCAACGTTAACTTAGTCGTAGATATGCTACAAACGTTTTCAAAACCTAGGCCCAACTACGAACGAGCCATCACGTGGCTATTGATAATAGTTGGTGGCTTTGTAGAATTTGCCGTTGCAGGACGAACTCTGTTTTTTTTATATACCAGGCGGCAGTTCTGTTGGGATGCAGTATCGTACGGATTTTGGCTGTCTGCAGAACTTGGACTAATAATGCTTGGCAATTTGTTTGGCATTGCACTTCTCAAAAAACTATTCAATATTCCAGACTTAGGTCTGCTTGCTCTGTCCACAGTGAATCAAGTTGGAGATTACCTTGTCAAAGGATTTGCCCGGCAAGGTTGGCAGCTCTATTTGACCACTTTTATGACATCATTCAAGGGAGTGGATGGCGCTGCAGTTCGGTCTATTCTATCTAGCATTTTACCCAGCGATGAAATTGGCAAAAGTTACTCTATGGATCTTTCGGTGAAAGCGATCACTCCACTCATATCGGTATTTTTTTTTACTTATATTTATAACAGAACCATTGACAATGTTCCCTCAACGTATCTGTTTGTAACTAGTGCAATATTTGGAATAAATCTATTGCTCATTGGGTAAGCATCATTAATAATTGTTTGTATTGATATAACCAACTCATTCAATTTAATTGTAGAGTGACGCAGTATCTATTGAACAAACGAAACCAATCAATCATCAAGTTGTAGGTATCATATATCATATACTAAACCATCCTTTTTTTGTATACTTTGACTTTTTATTGATATCACATCAACCTATTTTCAATAATTTGTTAGTTAGAAGCCCAATTAGTTGTTTGTGGGATTGACCATCACACCCCGTTTAGCACATGGGCGTTTCATATACAGAAATTTGGCATGCGGGCTTAATGGACGTTTGGTTTAAATATGTTTCGCCGAATAGGCATAGGAAGAGGGTAGGCAGATAGTTTCGTTAGAGTACGGCAGTATGAAATTTTGAATAGAAATTTCTATGGTTTATTATTCATAATATTCATAAATCAACTAATAAACGAGTGCACCGGTGAACTTTCGATCATTTACTGGAAAACATGACACAACAGCAGGGCCCTGTTTACTAATAATAAAAACATGAATAATACTCGCGTAACATTTGAAACGGGCACAAAACTTGTACTGCTCTTTTCGCTTGAACCGAATACGCCCACGCAAACTAACAACATCATCGGAAAAATCTCCCACTCCCGATAGTGCTGTTGGTTTGCGTGAGCGTACTTCAGTTCTCGTGAAAATGATCTAGCAAGTTGTTTACAAAAGTTGATAGGACCTTTTCAAAAGTTACGTGAGCATTATTCGTGTGATCATTTTTAGTAAATGGCCCCGCTGGCGTGCCAATTTTTTTCAGTAGATGAACAAAAGTTCACCTACACGCTTATTCTGGTCAACTCAAAATTGAGTCAAATGTACTCATCTCAGCGGCAAGTAGGGCTACTCAAAATTGAGCAGCATTATGTTGACTCACTTTTGAGTAAACGACGTTCTCGCGTAGACTGAGCCAAATCCACTCGCTGGT